GGATGTTTCTGTCTCTCTCTCCCTCTCCCTTCCTCTCTGAAATCAGTAAAAATATATTTTTAAAAAGCGAAGAAAACCAAAATGATGCCGGACAAGCTCCCCAGCTGTTTGGGGCTCCCCCGGCCGAGTGCCTGCTCCCGGGCCCCTGTCGGGGGGACGCGCGCACACCCGGCCCTCTGTGCTTCCAGGCATCCGCATGCTGGACGGGGACGTGACCGACGTGGTGGAGGCCAAGTCGCTGGGCGTCCGGCCCAACTACATCGACATTTACAGCGCGAGCTGGGGGCCCGACGACGATGGGAAGACGGTGGACGGGCCCGGCCGGCTGGCCAAGCAGGCCTTCGAGTACGGCATTAAAAAGGTGTGAGTAACCCAGGGCTGCCGGACGCTCTCGGGGGGCACGGGGGTCGCCCCAAGATGGATTCAGCCCTGGCCGATCTGGCTCAGTGGATAGAGCATCGGCCTGCGGCCCGAAGGGTCCCGGGTTCGATTCCCGGTCAGGGCACATGCCGGGGTTGCGGGCTCGATCCCCAGTAGGGGGCGTGCAGGAGGCAGCCGATCGGTGATTCTCTCTCATCATGGATGTTTCTCCCTCTCTCTCTTCCTCTCTGAAATCAATCAATAAACATAGATACATATATATGTGCTTTTTGTTTGTGAAAAATAAACTTATCACATGACACCTTGTTCTAACCATGTTCGAGTTCTGTAAAATTCAGAATACTTGTGTCATGCGTGTAAACTAGTTTGATACAGTGTGTTGTATGTTGCAGGCTTTCTTTTCCCCTTGAAAATTCTAAGGCTCTCCTACTCCTTCTCCATTGCTGGCACCCCAAGCAGCGAGTGTGCAAGTTTTAAACAAGAAAATAGACGGAATCAGGTTTTATTAGCACGACACCAACCAGCTTTAAAATCAGAGCAACAGCAACAACAAAAAATCAGGACAAAATATCTGAATTGGAGGCCGCACCTTTTTAAGGTAGCTACCATTCATGCTTTCTAGTCTTTTTTTTTTTTCTTTTAAAGATTTTTATTGATTTCAGAGAGGAAGGGAGAGGGAGAGAGAGGTAGGAACATCCATGATGAGAGAGAATCACAGATCGGCTGCCTCTTGCAGGCCCCACACTGGGGATGGAGCCCACAACTCGGGTATGTGCCCTGACTGGAATCGAACCGTGACCTCCTGGTTCATAGGTCGACGCTCAACCACTGAGCCACGCAGGCCGGGCCATGCTTTTTCATCTGAAAGCATGCTCACATATCAGTAACACCAACAGGAAAAAGAAAACACTGCCTGTGACAGTCATTGTAGTTTATTGAACCAAACAGGTTTATAGTCCATGGCCACATATTTAATTACTATCAAACAGCAGCTCTCATAGCAGTCAAGTCCTCGGTGGAAAATAAAAACAAACAAGTTGGAAATTCATCTTTGGTTTTGAAACCTTTCTGGGAAAACTGTAGCTTTTTGTACTTTCAAAAAAAAAACCCAAGCAATATAGTCTGGGTCAGAAAACACTGATTCATGTAGAAAATGAATCAACCCCCTGATAAGATACTAGCGGGGAAGGTGAACCAAAATAATCTCGTTTCGAGTCTCGGTTATTTTGTTCAAAGAAACACCGATGATGAGAGAGAGAATCACGGATCGGCTGCCTCCTGCACGCCCCCCACTGGGGATGGAGCCTGCAACCCGGGCCTGTGCCCTTGACCCGGTATCGAACCGTGACCTCCTGGTTCCTAGGTTGACGCTCCACCACTGAGCCCGCTGGCCGGGCAGGGAGTCTTGGTCTTGCTTGCTCCCCCTCCCTGCCAGCAGGCAGCGCGAGACGTGTAGAATTTGGGGGGTGGCACCTCCCCAGGGACTACACAGAGCAGACCTCTGGGTGCTGGGCATCCAGTGACAGGCTCGGGGACGCAGAGGATGAGGGCGCTGCAGGCTCCTCCCGGAGGTCCGTCCCAGCGGCTCCGAGTCGCTGTGAGTCAGAAAGGCGGGGGGAGGAGGGGACTGGCGGGGACCCAGCTATAACAAGCAGGGTGGCGAGGCGGGTTTCAGGGCGAGGACAGCTTCTTGGAACAGACGTGGGGCTGTGGTCAGCGTCCCCGTGGCCCTGGGTGGCCCGACAAGCCCCAGCGCCCGGTGACGCTGGCAGGGGTTCGGGCAGGAGACCATCCCAGGCAGCCTGATGCCTCTGGATTGTCCTATTGGAGAGAGGAGAGAGGGGCGGGGGGTCGAGGGG